GGGTATGTGGGGGGGGAGGGAATGGCCTCCTGCGTCAAAAGGACAGGAGCGCCACCTAGTGGCCACCAGAAGTGGGACTTGAGCCCTGGCCTCCAGAACCAGCTGCTCCTGTCCCAACACATCTCACACACAAATACTCTCACCCACACTTGTTGACACAGGCCACGGCTGTGGGCTTTTGGGGACTTGCAGCAGAGTGGTTGTGGACTCAGTCTGGATTGGCAGGGGTCACTGGCCCTGCAGGACACTGCAGCCATGAGGAGCAGGTCACTGGCCCTTGACACTGCCACATCACTTCTCAGGGGATCCCAGAACCCCAAGTGGCAGCCACCATAGCTGCCCTCCACAGAGGCCGCAGCAGAGTGCCATGGGAGGAGTCACCTGGCTGGACAGGTCTACACAGAGGATGGTGTCACCACAGACTGGGGGCCAAACTGAAGGTTTGAGGGCACAGACTCGGCTGCTTGTGAGAAGCCATCATCTGTCTGTTGCTATCACACCAGGCTTCCATAGACAGGGATCTTGTGAGTGGAACTTATAGAATAAGCTGCAAGCGCCCCAGCAGGAGCCCAGAGGGTAAGGAGCAGTGTTAACTGTCAAATCGACAGGATCTAGAAGCCAAGGAGACAGGCCTCCAGGACGGTCTGGGGTTACCTTGACTGTGCTACCTGAGGAGGGAAGACCTGGAGCAGGCAGCACAATGCTCTGGGTTAGGATCCTGGTCCTGTCATGTGACCAGCCGCCTCAGCTCCTCCCCTTCATGATGGTGGAGGGTAACAAGCCCTTCCTCCTGGCAGTGACCTTTGTCAGAGGACTTTGTTGCAGCAGGAAGAGCACCTAAGAGCCAAGGCTGGCAGACTCCTGCCCACACACCCCTGACCTTCTCCCAGAACTGAGGGATGTCACCACCCCACGTACGGGGGACTGAACAAATGGAGGCTGTCCTGGATCACTAATATCACCAGAGGGCCCTCAAGGGCGGCAAGATAGGCCTTTGACACTGGGACAGCGCAGTGCAAAGCTCTCTAAGGCCTTGGGGAACCAGGAAGCAGCAGATACAATACCTACAGGATTTCTCACCTCTGTAACAATTAGGAAACAGTGCTGGGACCCACAGGGCATGAGAATGTCAGAACGGGAACCAAGTATTTGAGGCATACTTTCCCATGCAGCCCAAGTCCAGCCCAGCTCGGCCATCAGCTGGGAAGCTAGCCTGAATATAGGTATACGGCTGGCTGCAGGACAGCCCAGGGTCCAAAGAGGAAGTGCGCATATCAACATAGCCGTGTCTTCCAGGGAAGGACCACTGCCCAGGGATGAGCGTGGATTCCACTGGAGCAGGGAAGGCTATGTGCCTACAGTTTGAGTGCAGAGACACCAAAAAGAGGGCGCTTTCCGCATGACCCTGTACAGGCTCAGCAGTCAGCCCTGTCCACAGCTGAGCAACACCAGGGGGCCTGCTGAGGGCAAGGTGTTCCTGTCACACCTGGGGCCCTAGGGAGGTGCTGGATGGTGGAGGACAGAAGGACCACATGTGTGATTACAGGTGCAACTAAGGGGCACCAGAGCACCAGTATCCAGTATTCTGAGCCTGACTAGGAAGTCCTACTTTGCCACCTGTGCTCTAGAGAGACCACAAGAGCCACACAAGTGCCAAGACCCAAAGTACTTGAAGGGAAAAATTGGGCTCCCTGCCAGCACCTCACTCAGTGTTCAGGAAGCAGCCCCTGTGATGTGGCCAGCAAGTGACACACCCGTCAGGCTGGCAGAGGATTGGGCAAGATCACAGTCCTTGGCTCACCACCAGGATGACAGGGGGGCATGTGGACAACTGGTACAGCCAAGGCCAGGGTCTGGGTCAGTGCGCCCCCAGCCTAAAGGCTGAGCTCGAGGAACCCCGCAGTAGTCCCGGGAGCAGCAACCATCCGCTCTCCCCACGCCTCACACCCCAGAACTCACCAGGACTTGGGCTCGCCGAAGTGCAGGTAGTTGATGCTGTAGAGGTCCATGTCCTCGGTGTGCCAGGCAAACGTGGTCTTCCACATGCCGAAGTAGAGGTAGGGCGTGTTCACGCCCTCGATGATGGTGCCGCACTCTCGCTCCACCATGTCCAGGATGGTCCTCAGGTTGCCGATGTTCCACTGGGCCACGTCCTGTGGACAGTGAGTGTGCAGTCAGCAGAGTCCTCCCAGGACATCTGTGACCCCCTGCACCCTGGCTTCAAGGTCACCGGGGTACAACAGGACAACTAAGGTATGTAAGCATCAGCTTCCCAGGCTCCATGGTCCTCCACAGAAGTCAAGGGGCCTAGGGGCCTAGGCACACTAGAGCTGCTTGGGCCCCACACTCTCACCTGCCACCCAACCCTTCCTAGGAGAGCATGTTGTACTCAACAGTCTACAAGCGAGCACATGCCAAGGGACAACCGCAGCTCAGTGGTGACCTCCATAATTCTAAGTAAGGCAGAAGGCAGTCTCCATGTAGAGCAATCCCTTCACAAGCATGTGAACCCAGGCCCAAATTACACCCTTCCAAATCCTTGCATCATACAAGACCAGACAGCTTCAGACGGACACAGGCAAATGTGGATGAAGGCCCCACACTCTTGTCAAACATTGCTAGCTGGAGCTAAGACACAGAGGCAGCCTCAGGTGCCTATACCTGAGTCTGGCCCTCATCCTAGAATCACCAGTGTGCATATTGGCACCTTCGCATGGTGACCCTGAAGGTGGCCAGTCCCCATCAGAAGGCTGAAGGGCCAGGCCATGGTGAGCAGAGGTGGCTAAGGTCCCAACAGTATGACAGCAGCAGGTCATCATGCACACAGATGGCCTTGCTGCCCTGCCAGCCACCACATGGGACATGTCATGAACTATAAAAAGAGAAATTCAAGAAAACTCATCTGATGGCTGGGTCAAAAGTCCTTTGCTCTGGGCCTCAACTGCCCCATGGGTAACGGATTCTGCGCTGCTTTAGGTGAGGCAGGCGCACAGGCAGAGCCACAAGCTTCCTTGGGGGCCTGTGGCAGATGTGACCCAAAGTCCAGCGTTGGCAGCTGAGGCCTGTATGTGGCCAGAGCCCGCCACAAAGTCGTCACAGTGGCTAATGGGAAGGGCGCAGGGGCTTGCCCAGAACACCTTGCTGGGCTGAGCCCAGACTCTGATCTAGCGCCATCCCAGAAGCATGGACAACAAAACTGCAAGACAAGTACGAGAGGACAGGGAGCCAAGCACAACAGAAGACAACACACCGCCACAGACCGAGGACCTCACCACTACCTGTAAAGTCACTCTAGACCTGCAGTGGGGAAAGCAGATCAAACCACCTCAAGAGACCCCCACACCCCTGGCCCAAGTGCAGAGGCTTTGCCTGCACAGGGTGAACAAGACATGGCATGCTGGCATTCAGGAGGCAGGAGAGTCGGGAGTTCTGGGTCATCCTCAGCTACTTAGTGAGTTCAAATCCAACCTGGACTCCATGAAAAAGGAGGCACCTGCAGAAGGACTAATGTGACAGCTTCCATCTCAGTCCCCCTCCCTAGGCAGGGAGAGCTGCATCCACAGGGGTACACAAGCAAGTGGGGTCCACACACTTGAAAGAAATGAGCCTTCAAGAAAGGGTGTGGATAAGCTCTAACCCTGCACAGCTGCAGGACAGAAGCCACGGCAAACACTGTGCCATGATTCCAGTCCATCTTGGAAAAGGAATGAACATGGAGGCAGAGAGTGCCTGGTACCACTGGCTTGGGCAGGGAGGCAAAAGGACTAGGGATTGTTAAACGAGACTTTTAAAAATTATTTTTAAGTGTGTGTGTGTGCAGTGCCCACAGGGAACAGAGATGTCAGATGCCCTGAAACTGGAGTTACAGGAGGTTAGGAAGCACCTGGTACGGGTGCTAGGAATAGAACCTGGGTCCTCTGAAAGAACAGAAATACTCTTAACCATTGAGCCATCTCACCAGTCCCTCAAGCTGGATTTTCTGCTCTATTTTGCTGTGAACTTAAAGCTGATCATATGTATGTGTGTGTGTATATATATGTGTATATATATATGTGTATATATATATATATATGTACGTATGTATGTGTGTGTGTATATATATATATGTACGTATGTATATGTGTGTGTGTATATATATATGTATGTATGTATGTATGTATGTATGTATGTATGTATGTATACATTCCTCAGCACTCACATGGTGGCTCACAACCATCTATAATGAGGTCTGGTGTCCACTTCTGGTGTGCAGGTGGACATGCAAGAGAAAAAAATGTTAGTTGGTTGGTTGTTTCAGTTTTTTGAGGCAGGGTTTCTCTGTGTAGCCCTGGCTGTCCTGGACTTACTTTGTAGACCAGGCTGGCCTCAAACTCAGAGATCACCTGCCTCTGCCTTCCGAGTGCTGGGATTACAGGTGTGTGGCATTGCACCCAGCTTAAGAACTTTTGTTTTACATGTAGTTGTTTTGTGTGTGACTCAAGGAGCCAGAGGACAACTTCAGCTTTCCCTACCCATGTGCATCTTGGGGATCAAACTCAGGTTGTCAGGCTTCATGGCCAGAACTCTTCCCCACTTGAACCATCCCACCAGCCCTATTTTTTGTTGTTTGTTACACAGCCAGTACTCCCTCTGGCACACAGATTATCCCCTGTGGGGAAGTGTCTTCAGCCGCCAGGGCTGGGCCAGCGTGCTCTCCCTAGCAGCCTGGGGCTGGCCCCAGCCAGCACTCAGCGGTAGGGACCCCCTCAGCAGACTGAAGACTGGGCCCATAGAACTAATTCTCAGGACCAAGGACAAAGTCAACCCATCCTGACTGTGCAATCAGCCACAGGTTCTTAAATGTGACACCGAGAACAGAAGCCAAAAAACATGCTGTGAACTGTAGCAAGGGAGGCCACCTCCAGGAAAGAAAACAAGCAGGCCTGCAATCCAGGCACTCAGAAGCTGGGGCAGGAGGATCCCAGGCTTGACATCAGCCTGGGCAACTCAGTGAGAGCTTGTCTCTAAACAGAACATAGAGTGAGACTCTGACTTAGAGCATGTGACCAGAGTGTGCACTGAGGGAAAGAAGACTGGTCAGACAGACAGCTCACAGCACAGAGACAGACAGACTGTAGATGGCTGGTGACAAACTCACATCTGGGATGTGTGAAAAGCCCCACAACTCAGAGATCTAGAAACCTGTCCTCATGGCAAAGAATCTCAGAAAAACAGAGCCACGTGACTTGGGCAGGACCCGTAGCTGCCTCACTTCTTGGAGCCCAAGCAGGCCACAGCCCACAGCTGACTGTCAGGGCATGCTGTGTGGTCCCCCTACATGCTGGTGTGCAGGGACCCTGAGGACATGGCGAATCAGACACAAGAAGCCACAATGTGGGACACTAAAAATAGAAAATGACCAGACAGTGGATTCCTGGAGGTCAGAGTCTTGGAGGGATGGGTGACCGTTCATAAGGCTAAGTTTGCTTTCTGGGGTGACAGGCAAGGCTATACAGCTTGGTGGGTGCACTAAAACGAACTGAACCCCATGCTTCTAACTGTTGTGCCGCGGGGCTTGTCAGCTGAACCTGGCTCTACTGCCTTAAGAAACAACGGCAGCACTGAGAGGGCTAGACAGGAAGGTGCCTGCCACCAAGCTTGGTGATTTGAGTTCAGAACCACACAGAGGCCGGACACACATGCCTGCGCACACACAACAGACATTTAAACTCACACCACACCAAGAAAATGCAAGTAGCACCAGGGAGATGAGTGGGAGGCTCTGGGCCTGTTCCCAGCACCCACGCAGAAAGCTGAGTGTGACACTGCACCCATAATCTCAGCCCTGGGCCAGAAGCCAGCACAGCCAGGCCTCTCCCACCCCCAGAGCACACAGTGGTGACCAGGACCCTGGCAGGTGGGAACTCACGGGCACTTACGTCATCATACAGTGAGCCACTGATGTCAGCCCCATAAATGGGGGAGACGAACGTCAGGTTCTTCCAGTACTTGCGTTCCAGGTCGTCAAAGTCCTGATGGCGCGGGGTGCAGTACCTGGGGACAGTGCATCGATGCAGATTGGACTCTGGGCAATACCACACCCTCTAGTTGCCTGAGAACCCGACCCCAGAACCATGGCTAGATGTGGCAAGGAGGGACAGAGCTTCAGGATCCAGGGGCAGCTGGAGCAGAGAGCATGAGGGACCTGCACCAAAAAGCTGCCTTCCGGCCACATACCGGGACGAGAGAAGCCCCTGGGGGACACAGACAAGGAGGGGTGAGGGGCCCTCAGCCCCAGCTCGGCCTCCGAGAAGCGGGGAGTCAGTGCAGCAGAGAGAGAGAGTGAGCCCACATACTTCTCGCTGTTGGCCAGGCGGCGGTACTCCCCCACTGTCATGGCCTTCTTCTGGATGTTGTACTGAGTGAAGAGCCCTGACTGGCCCGTCACCACCTGCTGGATAGGCGCCGGGATGACCACGTCGTCAATGTCGTCATACGTCTGGCGCGGCTTCCACTCCTTCGGTGGGATAATCTGGGGACCAAGAGGGGTGTGGGTGATGCGGCTCCCAACGGTAGGAGTCCCAGGCCCCAAAGATCTAAGTGCCACACACAGGCCTTACAATCATGACAGCTGTGGAGGCCAGGGTGGCAAATGATCCCCATTAGAGCAGAGCAGGAACAGGGACACAAATGGACACACACACACACACACACACACACACACACACACACACACACACGATGCTAGAAATGCCAGAGGGGAAGCTGCACCTACACTCGGCTGTGGTAGGAGGTGGCTGGTTAAAGATTCAAAAAATGGTCTCATTTGCAGAAGCCTCAGCAAAAGCCAAGAGGACAGTCTAAGATGGCTATATACAATAGCCTCTCTGGTGGGAAAGTGCTGCAGGCAGGAGAAGGGAACCAAGGCAGGCCACAGTCACCCCAACTGTAGCCATGGGGGACAAGGAGGTGGAAGGAACCTGCAGCTTAGCCAAATGAACCAGCTCCAGAGCCTTCTTGAGACGGCAGCCTTCGGCTGAGGCTGGGACTGCTGAGTGCCTGCTGAGCAATGGACTACTTAACAAGAAACCCAAGGTAACCCCAGAACTGCAAAATGCGTGGAGGTTGGGGGCACACCTGTCATCCCAACCCTGGGAAGGCAGAGGCAGGTGGATCGCTGTGAGTTCAAGGCCAGCCTGGTCTACAAAGGGAGTCTAGGCTACACAGAGAAACTTCATCTCAATAAACAAAACAAAAAACCCTCACTTTCTGACACAGAGGCAGAGTCAGAAGAAAGCAGTAGCTAGCCCAGCATCCTTGCCTTTTAGGGGGAAAGTGGAGTCAACAGTGTCATTATGTTTCATGGCCAAAACAAGGATGAGGCCACCAGATCAACAGGGTAGTGGAGCTAAGGGGGTAGACACAACCTAAGGCCTGCCAACTTGGGTGCAGGCCCCATCCAGCCCTGCTCCACCTGGCCTTTGCATGAGGAAGGCATTCACTGAGAAAAGTGGACGTTAGGAGGGGACACTGCTTGATGGATCTAGAGAGGGGGTACTGGGGGAGGAGTAGTGGTCAGAGGGTGCCTGCCTTGGAGGCACCACTGCCCTTTGCATTTCTGCCAGTGTACGAGTGCACACACAGAGGCCGGAGGACAGCGCACAGAAGGTGCTCTCTTTCCAGAGTGGGGTTCCCGGGGACTAAGCTCCAACCATCAGGCTCGTTGGCACTGTTACCTGCAGAGTCCACTGTCTGACTGGGGATGACGCTCCACTGGTGCCTGCCAGCTGAGGGGTTTCTGGACTGTCCTCGGCACTCTGATGACGCTGGCTGGACTCCAGAGAACCAGGTTCTAACAGGGTGATGGCCTAGTGGGGACCCACCAGCAGCACTCTCAAACACACAATCACTAACTGCTCTAGATGTCACACGAGCAAGGCCCAGACACACAGGCACAACCAGCCAGGTGTGAGGGTGTAGGCCTGTCTGCCTAGCATCTGGGAGGCTGAGGAAGAACCCTGGGTTTAACACCATACTGGATGGCTTCAGAAAAAGTCCTAAGGCTGGCACGTCTTTTACCCACAGATGGGAGGGCCCGCACATCCCAGCACTGAGGAGCCAAGCACCCTGTCGGGAGGCTCACAATTGCTGGCTCCACACCCCTTCGGGCTTCCACATGTACCACACACAGGTGCACACCCACACAGACACACACAGAGATTTTTTTTTTTTAAAGAAAAAAATAGATGCAGGGTGACCCCAGACCCCTTCTGTAAGTGTCAAACAAATACTACTATGCAAGGCCTTACACACCTCCCCACACACCACCGCCCCCAGGCATCAGGTCCCCTTCCATCCCCAGGCCTAGAGCAGCCTTTTCCCTCACAGCAGCAGGCTCTGTGTCCCACCCAGGCTGGGCTGCTCCCTAGGGTCAGGGACACATATGCCCTGATTTGGTCCAGCATCACCACAGAAACCAGTGCCTACGTGAGTTTAAGGAGGTTGGAGAGGCAGTGACATGGCATCTGGGCACAAAGCAGTTTGGGAGTGGCATCACACACCTTGGCCAGGCCAGCGCGGTGGGCACCCTGTGACTCAATGTAGGCCACATATTTGTTGAAGTCCCTGAACTCGTCCATGGTGGGGCGGAAGGTCATGATTTTGCAGCTGGGGTTCTGGGCACTGTGGTCCTCGGACCCCATGACTGCAGCGAAACAGAGCCACACCTGTAAGGAGGTAAGAGCCGTCAGCAGAGCCCTGCCATCACCACCACCACGCTTCCCCTCAGAGGCAACAAAATCACCCACAGCTGCTGAGGGCAACAGCAGGCAGACAGGCCGAGCCAGAAAACCAGGAGGCCCCATCACTTCCACCAGCCCGAGGGCCAAGGTGACAGCAGCTGACTAACACACAGGTACCTTCCTCCCTCCAAAGCTGACGGGGTTCCGAAGCTACGCACTTTCTAATCAGAGGCTCCTGGAACCCAGCACCGCTCAGCAGGGAACTCCTCATGTGCACTTTGTGGCCCTGGGCCACCGCATCCACCAGGAGCCCTGCGCATATCTGAGGGCATCCCGGGCTGGTTCAGCGTCCCGCTTGTGCACAGGGGCCAACTGCAGCCTGGAATCCATCAAGCTACTCATGGAGGCCTGGAGCAGGAGGGCAAACCCAACCCATCTGAGCCAGCCCAAGCTACGGCCAGCTCCAACCTGCCTGTGCCTTAGGGAAGCAGCACAAACTGGCCTCCTCCCTGCCCCTTCTGTAAAGGGACCTTCTCAGCCGGGTGACCTCTCCTCACTGGGAGACCACATGGCCTCCAGGAAGGGTTGTCACAGGGTCTCCTCCTGGAGATCACCACAATAGTCCCAACGTGGGTGAAGAGAACAGCTCCCATGCATTTTTCAGGGTGGCCACAAGGCGACAGCCCATGCCCAGAAATGGAGTACAGGTTTGGTATCAGAAGCAAGCTGTGTGAGTTGGTGGCTGGGCACCCAAAGGCCACCGCCCTGCTGGGCTCTGGAGAGGAATTAGGCTGCATCACCTGGGTGTCCTGGGACTACTCAACATAGCCCTCCAAGTCACAGTGCCATGTGACAGCCCGCTGGGAAGGATGCACATGGTTGAAGGAGAGGGGCTGCCAGACACTGCCCTCCAGGGCACCAAGGGCAGGCTCCACAGACTAGAGTATCCCTGGCCCCACCCCAGTCTCAGGGCCACCAATGCCCCACCAGCCCCACACCAACTGCTGAGCCCCCCTGCCACCCCCATACCCACATGCAAAGGGTGAGAGCTGGGGGAAAGGAAGGTAGTGCAGAAGGAACATCATGCCCTCAGGGACCTCACAGCCTATAAATCAGCAGCCTCAGTGTTAGGATGAGCGAGTGGGAGGAACACAGGAGGGCACAGAACCAGTGGCTGACTTCAGCCCTGGCCATGCCCCTCTTCTGCTGCCTCACAGGCCACTTGACACAGTGGAACACTGTGTCTTCTGTGGGCAACATGAGGAACATTCATTTCCCGCCTCCATGACTCCCTGCTGAGCACTGGGCCACAGGGCAACCCCAGAGGCTGCCCACTAGGAACCTCAGTCCTGGCTCCCACCCTCGTGTGGTGAGGCTGCCTGCACCCACCCTCTCACAGGCTCTCCTTCTGGGAACTGCCATCATCTGTGTGCCTGGGGCGGCACACAGCTTCCCTCCCTCCCGTCTGTCTCCCGTCTGTCTCAAGGCCAGCATGGCCATGGCACAGCCCAGGTTGCTACCAGGGTCCTATGTGGGCAGTGGTGATGGGGATGAGACCTGAGGGCTGTGCACCATCAAGGGGGCTCTGCAGACCCCACACAGAGTGCTAATGATAATGGGGATACAGAGCGCAACAGCTGGCAAGACAGAGAATGCAGCCAACCACCTGCTGGCTACCTGAAGGCAGAGGGAGGGCCAAGACACTGCAGGCAGTGCTGTCCAAACATGCGCATGTAGAGGTCAGAGGGCAGCCGGGAGGACTGAGTTCTCTCCTTCCACCACATGTGATCCAGGGAGCAAAAGAGCTGACAGCAGGTGCCTTGAACCTGACAAGGACTGGGAATCTTGAAGGTCCCCACTGCAGAGAATCAGCAGAGGACCAGGGCCCATGCTAGCCCCTCAGGCTGTCCTGAGAGGACAGCGGAGGTGTGGACCAGGACTAAGGGCCGTGGGATGCCACTCCCAGGAGAATCCTGACCTTGCAGCTGGGACTCTTACAATGGGAGGCGTGAGGAAGACAGGGCTCAGCCAGAGCTATCTGGGCAGTGTCATCACAAGGGAGGAGGCGGGGAGCTGAGGGTTCAGGTGCCACTAGAAGCTGGACAAGCTCATAAGTGGAGTGCCCCAGGGTTCCCAGGGCCAGCCAGGCCAGACACCTCACTTTCCACCACAGATGTGCCATGGACTTGGGCACCATCTGAGAATCCCATATGGGGCGGAGGACACCATGTGTCAAGCCACTAGCTACAGCAGCGGGTGGGGATGCACAGAGATGGGGGTCCCAAAAGCCCCCGGGACAAAAATCTGTCTTTCACTGGTGATGGGCCCAGCACAGTGGGTTCCAGGTGCCACTCATCTTGAGAGCCTGGGCTAGGCAGAGCTAGTAGTAGGAAGAGGATACCTAGCCACCAACCTCCAGCTGCCAAACAGGAAACGCACTGGCTCCACCTAGTGGCAACAGCTCCTTATTGCCCACAGAGAAAGTGCCCTGCCCCACCTCCTGCCAGTTAAAACAGGGCATGGAGGAAGTTGTTCACTGAGACCCACCCCACCCTACAGGAGGCCACGCCTACTGTCCAGGGACACGTCAAGACCAGAGCTTTCAGGCCAAGATGGGCAATTGCTAGTGGCCTGTCCCCAGACTGTGGCGGCACAGGGTCTGCGCACAGGCCTCTGCAATGGCTGCTGCCTCAGCAAACACTGGCCAGACTGTGTCCTGAACTGCACCTCACTGCCTGCACACGGGTCCCACCCACCTCAATCCCTAGGACAGAGTCCCCAGGGCTGGGCTCCAAAGGGCTCCTGAGAGGGCAGGTGAAAGCTCTTGGGCTGAGCCATGACGCACAGCAGCAAGTCAGTACTATGAGGCCAGGACAGCACAGGCTCTGCACCCTGGGCAGTGTCCTAGGAAACACAGAGAGCCAGGAGCCTCGTGCTCCTCACAAATGGCACTAAAGGCAGCAGTCCCCCGGGGGGCCAAAGATGTCTTCTCAACCCCTCTTGTTCCCAAAGGTCCCTACCCCTGGAAGTTGGACATCTCAAAACTTCCTGTTGAGTCCCAGCTGGCCATGGGCCTGGGCCACCATCTTGAGAGGCTCCACAACTCAAGCTCAGTCCCCAGTAGGGAGGTGGCCACAACCACCTGAGCCCGGTTCTGGGTTGTGGCTGGGCCCATGTTGGGGTGCCCTCAGCTCCAGAAGCCATAGTTGGAGGAAGTGGGTTTCCTGAAATGGACAGTCTGCCCCATTCCTCTTGCTCCCAGCTGTGTGCTGGTTATACAAGGCCCCTGAACACAAGAAGCCTGTATGCTGTGAAAGAAGGACTTCCCAGTCCTCCCCACGCAGCCTTCCCTGGCAGCCCTGCCCTCCTTTATCTGGGTGAACAGCAGGGGTGGATGGGAACAAGAAGGGCTGGCAGAGAGTGTGAGCCCTAAGGGCCTCACCTGCTCAGCTGGACTACAGGATGGTGGGGCTGACAGCACAGGGCAGAGGCCAAGGCCAGGAGCCAGGAGCTGTGGCTGATGGGTTTGGAACTTTGTTATTTAACTCTGGAGATGAAGAGGGTGGGTGCCCAGGCCAAAGGGGTAAGTGGGCAGTGGGCTTGGCACAGCACCAGGAGACAGAGCAGCCAGACCAAGTGCTCCCTGAGGCCAGCTGAAGGGCGGCGCAATCCTAAGAGCAATACTCAGGGCTGTCAGGGAACTGCAGAGAGCTGCCGTGCTCACAGAATGTGCAAGGGACATCCAGGCTAACATCTCTACTACCAGCAAGCTACATGGACAGATGCTCTTACTACTCCAGGAGTGACAGCACCAGATAGGAAGCTGCAGCAGACACCAGGCAGCCATCCTCCCACCTCAGCACCCAAATGCAGGCAAAGTGCAGCATCCCTGTGTACCCTCCAGGGGGCGTAAAAGGGACTTGCTGAGCAGGTCTGTGCCTGCGAAAGCCTAGGCCACTTCCACAGTCCTCTTGTCTGTTTAAGGAGGAAATAAAAGATGCCAAATTGGTCACAGCAGCACAGGAACAAGAGCTATGACCTGTGACATTACACAGGACTCCCCAGAGCTGGCTCAGCTGCAGCCACCTGTAAGGAGGCGCAGAGCAGGTGTCTGGGGGGCGCTTGGGAGGTGGAGGCGGGAGGTAGAATGGGATTAAAATGTGAATCTGAGGTGCGCTCTGACTGAGCTGTGGCCAAGGGCAGGACAGAGCTGCCACCAGCTGATCACAGCCTCTGAGAAGTGGACAGCAACTCTGGACACTGCTCCAGGAGTTTCTGTGAAGCTGAGGAACACTCTTAACGAGGCTACGGATGGAAGGTGGTGCAGCCACTGGGATCTGCCGAGGAGTTCCAAAGGCCTCACAGCCACTAGTCTATCTCTGTGAGAAGCCCCACGATTGCTGCAACTCTGATAATGAAAAACATTTAACTGGAAGCTAGCTTAGTTTCATTATGGTGGGGAGCATGGCAGCATGCAGGCAGACCTGGCTCTGGGGCAGGAACTGAGAGCTTTCCATCCTGGTTCATAGGCAGCAGGAGAGATACTAGGGCTGTTAGGGGCTGCTAAAACCTCCAAGCCCATCCCAAGCCCACCCCAGTGGCACATCTCCAACAAGTCCACTCCTCCTGATCCCACCTATGTGAATAAAAGAGCCTATGGGGGCCATTCTTATTCAAACACCACAGTCCAAAGCCACTGCCACCACAAACCAGAGTTCAATGACAGTCCGTGGTGTGATGTCATGGTGCACACACTACCCGAAACACAAACAAGGTAGATGATGGATAAGCCACACACTGGATTACCACGAAGCCCTAAACAAGAGTGAGGTACCCACAGTATGGAGAGACCTGAAGATCAGCTTCAGTGAGAGAGACCCAGAAACAAAAAGCCACTTGTGCTGGCTAATTTTATGTCAACCTGACACAGCTAGAATCATCTGAGAGGAGGGAGCTCAATTTAGAAAATCCAGTCTGGTGGCTGGTGGGTCACAACATTAATCCCAGCAGTCAGGAGGCAGAGGCAGGCAAAACTCTGAGTGTGAGGCCAGCCTGGTCTACAGAGTGAGTTCCAGGACAGCCAGGGCTACACAGAGAAAATAGGCCAAAATAAAGAAAAAAGGAAAAAAGAAAATGCCTCCATAAAATCCAGCCATAGGCAAGCCTGCAGGGCATTTTCTTAATTAGTGACTGATATGGGAAGGTCCAGCACATTGAAGGTGCTGTATCTCTGAGCTGGTGGCCTCCGATTGGCACCCATATAAGAACGCAGGCTGAACAAGCCAGGAAGAGTAAGCCAGGAAGTAGCACCCTCATGGCCTCTGCATCAGCGCCTGTCCCCAGGTTCCTGCCCAGCTGAGTTCCTGTCCTTACATCCTTCAGTGTTAGACTACAATGTGCAAGTGTGGGCTGAATACACCCTTTCCTCCCCAACTTGCATTGGTCATGGTGTCTCATCACAGCAATAGAAACCCTAACTAAGCACTCAGTGTGTGAGTCCATAACAGGAAATGCCCAAAACAGGCCAATCCACAAGTGGGAAGTGGATGTGTGGGTGCTAGCAGCAGGGGAGAGAGGTAAGGAACTGCTCCTGGGGACAGGACTTCCTTCTGGAGTGATGGAATGTTCTGGAACTAGACAGTGGTGATGGTGGCACCACTCTGTGAATACACTGCAAACCACTGAGCTGTCTGCTCTTGGTGGTGGACCAAGTAGATTCTCCTGACAGCTCAGGAGCCTTCAAGACCTGCCCGAACCTGTCTGTATGGAGCAAGGCCTCACTGTGGATTCCTTAGTTTCCTTCTGAGTGCTGGGGAGGAACACAGGCTCAGCACCCACTTTTCCACTCCCTGTGTGCTCATCCTGGTTCAGAGTACCTGGTTTGAGAAAAAGGGCTGCCTGGGCACAGCTGAGGACAAAAGCAGGGTTTTAGAATTTAAGACAGAATGGCTTCCAAGCTGGGTCCACCTGTCCATTGTCTCTTGTCCAACAGTGATCTCTACTGCCTGTAGGGGCCATGGCTCTGGCCATTTTGAGCCCCCACTTGCAGTCATCTCTGGTACAAGGCTCCATTGCACCAGCTGTGAGCCAATAAAGCTCAAGAAAGGCAGAAACCCAGGGACCCGCAGCCCCTCCCAACTAAGATGCTCACAGCCTGGCCCTGTGGGGCAAACCTTCTGAGGGGAGCATCCCTGTCTGCAGCAAGCAGAAAGGCCTCCCCAGGTCCAGTCTGCAACAACCTGGCCAGCTCAGCAGCCTCACAAAATCACCTTGCTGGGGCTCATCCCTGAAGCAGGAAGGTGGCAAGGAAGCTACTTGGCAGCAGTGCCCTGCGAAGTGCAAATGAAAGCTGTGTGTGCCTGTGAGTACAGGTGCCTGCAGACATGCCAGAATGTTGGATCCCTTGGAGCTGGAGCTACAGACAGTTGTGAACCCCTGACAGGTACTGGGAACTGAACCCCAGTCCTCTGGAAGAGCAGCCATTGCTTTCAACCACCAAACTATCACTCCAGCCCCACATGCACTGAGGTTTCATGGTTGCTGTTTAGTGTCTTTGTTTGTTTTCAAGACAGGGCCTCATTATATAGCTCTGACTGTCCTACAACTCACTATGTAGTCCAGCCTGGCCTTGAATTCAGAGACCCCAGCCCTGTCCTGATCCCAACTTCTTGCCGGAGTTGGATAATAGGAACAAGTCCCACAGCCCCATATCCCTAAAGGTATCCCAGAGACTGAGAGGCTCAGGCCAGATGGTCCTGAGCTGCAGGTCCCACCCCAGGACAAGAGGACCCCACTCACAAGTGCTGAGAGAAGCCTCAGTCACCAGTGGACAGGAGCACAGACTCCACCCACAGGCTACCGGGCCTTACCAGGCCTCACTAGGCCCAACCCCAGCCAGCCAACCTGTCTCCCAGAGCCACGAGGATCACCTGGGCCTGGCCACTGTACTTACCTGGGGATTCCAGGAGGTTCCAGGAGGCTGAAGGGGCCAGATGACCTGGGCTCAAGGAAGCAGGTGGGGCTGCTTCCTGTCAGGTACCTGCAGCAGCAACAGTGTCCTGCAAGGTGCAAATGAAAGCTAATGACTGAACTGCTCGGCTGCAGTCCCTGCCCATCCAGTCTTTCCAGCACCACCTCCACCAGGGACAGTGACCTAGCACAGCTCTGTCCAGGGACACTTCTCAACAACATGCTGTCCCAGCTCTCTGCTGGCCCACTGTCAGAGCTGAGAGCAGTCAAGTGACAGCAGAGAAGCTTCTGGAAGCCAGAAGCCACAGACAGGTACTGATTTTCAAATTTAGTCAAGTGTGACAGCACACTCAGAAGGTGGAGGAAGGAGGAACCTGAAGCCAGCCTGGGCTACTAACACTAGCCTCAAAACACACCAAACCTTTCAAAGCCCCGACCTCTAGAGAAAGGTCACTGCAGACCCCCACTAGTGAGCCAGTATCTAGTGCACAGGGACCCAAATGTTCCGAGGCTTGGTGACAGAAGTGCCACTGTGGCACCAGGCCCTTGTGCTGGGAGCCTGTGGCTGAGGTTACCAATCTGTGACCTTTATGGCCCCTGCCTGTACCTCCTGTAGCAATGTCCTGGGCTCCAGCTGCCTTCACCACTACTCAGATATGTAGTCTTGCCTAACACAGCCCAACCCTGAAGGAAGCTTGTCCCCACATACTTCCTAAATAGTGCCAGGCTGACAACTTCCCACCCAGCACCTAAGGCCATGCCATGCTACACTACACTGTCATCACGTCTTCAGGATCCCCAAGACCAGTCTTCACAGGCTCAGCAGCAGCAAGGACCCCCTCCCTCTCCTCCTGTGCTGTCTGAAGACTGCCCCATCCTCCCGGGACTCCTGACCTTACCCCTGCTGTCCAATATGCTCCTGGGCAAGCTAGACACCAAGCTGCCCAGCACCAGCCACCAGCTCAGCAGAAAATAATGTCAGATGGCTCAGGATGGCAAGGCTCCATGAATTAAATAAGTACAGGTGAGGGGTAGCTCAGGTGGCCCTGGGTTCCAGCCCCAACACCGCCAGCAATCAGAGACCTGGCCCTGGCTAAGGGCATGTGAGAGCTAGCATGCAAGAGCTACCAGAGTGGAGGTTCCTGAATAGACCCATGTTGAAGGTCTGTGCTAAGGCTAGGCCCATCAATGGGGAGGGGTACGTTTTGTTCAAGAAAGGTTCCTATACTACATGGAAAAGAATGAGTTTAGACCCTGACCTCATACCACACACAAAATTAATTCTAAATGGCTCTAGGCCAAATTTTAAAAGCAAACATCAAACTCTAAGAGTATTTATGGCCTGGAGCAGGTGCCTTTCAGACAAGACATATGAGAAAGTTTGCCCTGAGCTCTGAACTCAAAGGCTGCCATAATAAAAGGGGAGGCTGCTTCCGGAATACCTGAGAGCCACAGGCCTGAGAGGACCAGCATCCAGAACATATAGAGTCTTCACCACTCAACAAGAGGACAAAGGCCCAGAATCCAGAATACACAAAGCACTCACCATTCGTGCTAGCTAGTTTCATGTCTACTTGAGACAAACTAGAATCATCACAGAGAAGGGAGCCTCCACTGAGAAAATGACCCCATAAAAAAAAAAAAAACTAGTAAATCAGGCTTCGCACAAGCCTGTAGATTGTTTCTTTAATTAGTGATTGCTGGGGAGGGCCCAACCCATTGCAGATGGTACCATCCCTGGGCTGGTGCTCTTCAGTTCTATAAGAAAGCAGGTCGAGCAAGCCAGGAAGCACACTGCTCCGCAGCCTCTGCATCAGCGCCTGTTCCCAGAATCCTGCCCGGCTGAGTTCTTGTCCTGACTTCCTCCAGTGTTAGACTACAATGTGGAAGTGTGGGGAATAAACCCTTTCCTCCCCAACATGCTTTGGTCATGGTATTTCATCCCAGCAACAGAAACCCTAACTAAACACCACTCAGCAACAAAAAGACAAGGGACCAGAATCCAGAACATAAAGTATCTCACCACCCAACAAGACAAGGAACCAGCACCCAATACATAAGAGTCCTTGCCACTCAAGCCAAGACAAGCCATAAAAGTCAGACAAGGGGGCTGGATCGATGGCTCCGAGGTTAAGAGAACTGTTGGTTCTTCCAGAGGACCCAGCTTCTCCCAGCACCCACAGGGCAGCTCACAACTGTCTGTACCTCCAGTTCCAGGTGTTCTGACACCCTCACACCAATGCACATGAAATAAAGTTAAATAAATTATATATTTAAAAATAAAAAGTCAGGCAAGGGTCTGAGCAGACCCCTCATGTCCCTTCCTCAGGGACATGACATGGTTGGCCAACAGAAGCAGCTGCTTGGCTTCATGTCAACAGAGTACTCCCACTGGGGACGGAGGAGCTTGCTCTTGAGCTGGCAATGGGAAGATTTTATGGTGATTCTGAAAGTGCTGTGGGTAAAGAGTTAATGAGCTTGAGTGGTGGCCACTGTTCAGCATTACAGCTCTTGTACAGTGCTGTTTTCCAAGCAAAATCCTCCCAGTAGGTCTGCAGCAGCAACTCTACCTCAGCATGGAGGCCCTGATTCTACCCATCAGTGTCCATGTCCATGTCCACCCAGCCCAGGCCAGCCACCAGAGAGACCCAGGGGTCAAACAAAGCCACTGCCTCAGCAGGTAGCAGCCAGACTGGACAAGAGTCCAGGCACCCACCTCACATGACTCCTCACTCTTCCCCAGCCCAAGTCCCCAAGATGGCAATCCGGGTAGGATGGAGCTGCTGCAGAGAGGGGCTCCCTGTGTGGCTGCAGCCCCAGACAGGAACAGGAAGCAGAGACCAAGGCAGGCTCTGCCCCCAGGGTAAGTGGGTGGACCCATCAGTAGAGGTGTCTCTTCCCAGCATCCTTGGGAGATCATTGGTGTCAGGCCATAGTCCTGGGGCTCTCAATGAAGCCGTGGCTGAAATGATCCCAGAGACAACAGCCAAGTAGCTCAAGGGGGCAATACTAGGAACTCCTCTGTGGCCTTCCCAGCACTCACTGTCATTCAAGACAGGTCAAGACAAAGATGACCAGGTACAGGCCACAAAGTTTTATCAATACCCTCCGTGTGTTGTGGCAAAGAACCCAGGCACCCAGCCCTCTCAACCCCCCAGCAAGGCAGCTGGAAGTGCGGCAAGCAGACACAGAGGCTAGCCCAGGGCATGGTAGGGATGTTGCCAAGGAGAGGGATGAGGCAGGGCTGGCCACAGTGCCAGGAAGGCAGGAGAGGGCCACACTCTGCACCCTGTCCCAGGCAGCAGGACCCCTGACCACACCATTCCAACCTGTCATCACTGGAGGCAGACTTCAGATGTCTGGAGACAGAAGGCACAGCTGTGCAGGGCCTGGCAGGAAGGCAGTGAGGACTCCCAGAGTCCTGAGGTCTAGGGCTTGAAGCCAAGGGAGGCTGGATGTGAGCCTGTGACAACAGGGTGGCTACAGATGGCAGAAACAGCCAGGTCACTGGCTTCTGCCAAAGCCAAGGCCCTTGCACAGGGTGATGGTCAGGTGCCTCTCCACCTTCCCTAGGAGAATAAAAAACGCAGATCAAAAGCCCTGTGCCCCCAGCAGCATACCCATCACCTCCCAGAAGGACATAACTGTCAGTTAACAGCCCCACCACCCTGAATGTTACTGTGTGGTCTAACCCATAACAATCACCTGCCACCTGGGCACAATGGCAACTGCACAAGCCACAGAAGATTCCATATAGGCCTTAGGGAACAGGTGACCAAGCAGACTATGGACAAACATCGTACTAGAGTGAATGAAGGCCAGCTGCTGAGTATCAGCTTGAGAGCAAATAAGCATGTTTTAAATTACTTTTATTACATGTTCATTTGTTTATCTCATACGTGAGTGCACATGCCATGCATGCGTGTGGCAGTCAGAGCACAACATAGAGGAGTTGGTGCCTGCTATCACGTGACCAGGTTTGGCCAAAAGCTCCTTACCCACTAAACCCTCTTGCCACCCCGTGTAGTGAGAATTTCGGAATTCTGGTTTCATTAAAAAAACAGAAATATTCTAAGAATATGTTTTTGTTTTAATCCCACGTGTGGGACAGGGGGCTGCTTCCCAGCAGCTGACTATGATTTGCCTCGTGCTCTGGCAGAAGCATGATTTTGCCAGCTGCAGGTAGTTTCTGTGAGTGTGTGAAGTTTGAAATTTGGGGGACTTTTCAGAGGGTACATAAATGCTAAGGCCCCAAAGGGTGGGTGGGTGGCTGGTTGATTGTATTGTTCGCAGTTTGTTAAGTGGTCATACACAAAGAAGAAACAAGAAAATAGATACCCTGATGGCAAAGATCAAGCTTGCCCCCAAAAGCTCAACATCTCTAATAAGCAAAAAGTGGCCTAATGGTAATGGTGCCCCCTTTCCGACCCAGGACTGTACTGAGGGATGCTTTCCTCTCGATCCCTTTTTCCCTTCTATCTAGTGTGAGGGGGTTGAAAGGGTGGAAGAAAGAACAGCTCACAATGTAGCAAACTCTGGTTTACAAGCCCAGAATTGCTTTTTTTCTTTAAGGCAATCATACTGGTCTCCCAGGATTTTTTCACAGCAACAGAAAAAAGAATATAAAAGGACCAGAGTGTAACTCAGGGCTGAGTCAGGGGATTTATGAGTTTGAGGGTAGCCTGGGTTATAGAGCCAGATCCTGTCTCAAAAAAAAAAAAAAAGAAAACAACAGCAAATATAAAAAATTTAAACTGCCAACGATGGTGGCATATACCTTTAATCCCAGCACTCAGGAACAGACACAGACAGGGAAGTGTCTGTGAGTTCAAGCCCAGCCTGAGCCCAAAAAGGACAGAACAGGGCAGGGCTACACAGTGAGACCCTGTCAAGAAAGAAAAGAAAAGAAAAGAAAAGAAAAGAAAGGAAAGGAAAGGAAAGGAAAGGAAAGGAAAGGAAAGGAAAGGAAAGGAAAGG